GATTTGCCAATGGTTTCTCAGATATGACAACAATTTAGAAGCAACAAAAGAATAAACTAGACATCACCAAAATTAAACACTTTAGCGTTTCAAAGATAATTATCAAGAAGTTAGAAAAACAACCCAAAGAATGAGAGGAATTCTTTGCAAATTGTATCTCTGATAAGGGACTTATATCTAGAATATATAAAGAATTCCTATAGCTCAATAATAAATAGGCATATGTCCCAGTTTTTAAAAGGGATGAATAAATATTTTGTTATATTATTTATTTCCAAATAAAAGATCTGAGTACATATTTTTCTGAAGATGTGCAAATGGCCAACAAGCACCTAAAATGACGCCCAACATAGCTAGTTCTCAGATGAATGCAAATCAAAATCACAATGAGATGCCACTTCAGACTCCCCAAGATGGCTACTGTATTGGTTTCTTATGACTTCTGTAACAATTACCACCAATTAAAACAAGAGAAATGTATCCCCTCACATGCCCGAAATCAGCTTTGCTGGGTGGAAATCAAGGGGCTGATAGGGCTGTGTTCCCTCCTAAGGCTCTAGGGGAGAAGTTTCTCCTTTTTTCTTCCATCTCTTGATAGCTGCTCACATTCCTCGGCTGTGTCATTGTCATTCCATCCTTTTTTTCTGTAGTCACCTTGCCTCTACTCTTCTCTCTACAGGCAAATCCCCCTCTGTCTTCTACTTAGCAACAATCCCTTTTAAGAGCACACATCACTGCCATTAGGGCCCACCTGGATAATCCAGGATAGTCTCCTCCATCTCAAGATCCTTAACTGAATCACATCTGCATAGACCCTTTTCCCATACAAGGTAACATTCACAGGTTCCAGGGATAAGGACCTGGATAACTTTTGGGGGGGGGTCATTATTCAGGCTATGAGAGATATCATCAAATACAGGTAATAAATAACAAGTGCTTCTGAGGATGTGGAGAAATTAGAACGCTCATATACTGTTAGTGGGAACGTAAATGGTGCAGCCACTGTGGAAAACAGTCTGGCAGTTCCTAGAATAGACATAGAGTCATCACGTGATACAGCAGTTCCACTCTTAGGCATATACCAAGAGAAATGAAAACATGTCCAGACAAAAATCTGTATACAAATGTTCATAGCAGAATTATTTGTAATAGCTCAAAAGTGGGAACAATCCAAGTGTCCATCAACTGATGAATAGATACATAACATATATTATATTACAATGAAATATTATTTAGCAATAAAAAGAAAGTACCGATTCATGCTACGAGTGGATGAACTGTAAAAAACGTTATGCTTAAGTTAAAGAAGCCAATCTTGGATCACATATTGTATGGTATTATTAATAGGACATGTCCAGAATAGGCAAATCTATAGTCAGAAAGCAGATTAGTGGTTGCCTAGGGCTAGGGAAGAGGATGAGGTACTAGAAAGCAATGCTGAAAGGCAAGGGGTTTCTTTTTTTAGTAATTAAAATGTTCTGAAATTGACTGTGACAGTGAATGCACAACTCTGTAAATATACTAAAAAACATCTAATTGTACACTTCAAGTAGGTGAATTTCATGGTCTGTGAATTGTATCTCAATAAAGCTGTTACAAAAGTATATAGTCCTCAAGTATCTAGCTTCAAAACAGTGCTTGCATATACAAACTGAATATACATTGCTAAGAGTAGAATGAAATCCAAGTGAAAGGATGGGCCTAGCTTTCTGCATTGATTCATTTGTATGAGAGGAAGTGACAACTTGAGCTTCCCGATGCCAGTAGTAGTGATCAGCCTCCAAAGAACCCCTAAAATTCTCATCTCAGTATTCACACTTGTTTAGACCCCTCCCAAATTCTACGAGAGTTGGTTTCTGTGACTCACAGAATATGGCAGAAATTATGGTATGTCTCTTCCACAATTAAGTTACATGAGACGTCGTGTCTTCCATTTGACTGTTTACACTTTAATTGGATAAAAGTAAATAAAGCTATTTTGCAATTGTGGTATTTTAACTTCCGATTCCTTCATCTGTTTTCACTTTTTTATCTTATTATTTGACTGTTCTGACCAGAAAGTCTGAGAAGCTAATCAAGACACATGACATTCTATAATCCTTATCAGTGTAATTCACTGACAGCCATTTGGAAGACTTTAACTCAAAAATTCCATCTAATAGATTGCAATTGACATGTGGAACCAATATAATAAAAAAGTAAAACCAGCCCCTATCATTACACATACATGCTTATGTTGCTAAAATTATTGAGTTGCCTTATATATTTCAAGACTAATAAATCTATTATAACAGATGGAGAAACTGTACCTTTAATTATATACTTTTTCCATGAAAAAAACTTGCAAAAGGTTTGGGTGACTTTGGAGGTATGTAAACTACTTGCAGGTAGGAAAATGTCCTCTCTTCTCCTCTGTCCCACCCAAGTCCATTTTCACAGTGATCTTACCACATAACAGCTAAACAAACATGTTATTCAGAAGTAAAACAAATAGTATTCATGTCAATGATCATAATAACTCACAATGAAAAGTATTTAACTTGTCAAGGAGTTCCTGGTAAAGAAATGCCTAGAAAGGTGTAGTCCATACAATTTCAGCTATCTGTATGAAATTTTTTTTAAAAAAGAAAAGCACAAATGTCCATTCATGTTTGGTATCATGTGAATTCAGTCAAAGTGAATGGACTGCTGAAAGCCCCAGTTTGTATTCTTTGCTTACCTTCATGTATGTGAAGACAATGAAGACAGTGAGTAATAAGTGACCACAGAGAATTCCTTTTTAATAGATGCCCATGATACAAATGTTGAAATTAGATTCATTCTTTAATTCATTGGATAAATATTCACAAGGTCCTAGTATCATGTATGTGCCTCAAATTTTGGCCTCTCTAACATTTACTTCCAAATTTTAAGGCATAATAAGATATACTTGGGGACTTTTTTCTCAAAAACTTATCTTCATAAGTGTTATCAATGGCTTGGGTCAATTTACATCACACATAGGTCGGAATGCATTTTTTTTTTCTCAAATGGGAGAATGACTAACTTAACCTTTTGTGATCAAACCCCTCTGTAAAAAGCAGTTCACTTCAGTCCTCCAACATAATAAATGAAGGACTTTAAAGACTTTTCTTGAACTCAGTCTCTCTTCTATACAAATCACTCTGAGTTTTTCAAATGAAAAGAAACTTCCAATTTTAGAAAAGAAACATACATATTTGGACATAGGGAACTTATATCAAATGAGTATGCTTGTTGTTTATAAGGAATAATTCACATTGCATATTATTCTGTGTTTTCCATCGGGTACCTCCCTGTCTGTCACTGCATATTTTTTTGAGTGATGATCATTGACTGAATGATGGTCTGGCTTACTACGCTTAAGCTTTACAAAGATAGGAATCATGACTCTTTTAGGTTTTTTTTAAGACAAGGTCTCACTCTGTCACCCATGTGATTGTGGCCACCTGCAGCCTCAAACACCCAAGCCCAAGTGATCTTCCCATCTCAGCCTCTCAAGTAGCTGGGATGACCCAGCTATGGTGCACACCATAAAGCCAAGCTTTTTGTTTTTTAATTTTTTGTAGAGACAGGGTCTTACTATGTTGCCCAGGCTTGTCTTGAACTCCTGGGCTCAAACAATCCTTCAGTCTCAGCCTCCCAAAGTGTTAAGATTACAGGCTTGAGCCACCATGCCTGACTGTGACCATAGTCTTAAGACAACTGTCTTTGATGCTTTCATGAGTTCCTGGTATATAGCTGATGTTCAAAAAATTTGGTTAAATGAGTAAATGAATGAAAGACCCTAACAGAGATAATATGAAGAGTGTCAATGATTTAGAAGGACTCATTCATAGTCTGGAATCAAGTCTATAGAAAATTTCAGAATGAAAGTGAAAACTATAAATTCCTCTGGGGAGCCATTCCTAGTGTCTTTCTAGCCAAGATGTGCCCCACCCTTGATTCTTGAACCTGAGTGCGTGGGTTCATACGTGCAAATAAGCTTGTTCTGAACTTTAGGCAGCATGAGGCATGCTGCAAAGTCCATGCTATGACAGTGAGTCAGTCCTGAGTATACTACAGACTCACTGATTACAAGGTGGCCCGTCAGGCTTATCACAAAGAGAACAGTAGCATAGTGACTACGCTGGTGTAAGTTCTGGCTACATCTACATGGCTGTCTCTGTTCACAGCACTGCACCAGTTTTCTCATGCCTGTAATCTCAACACTTTGGGAGGCCAAGGCAGGCGGATCACCTGAGGAGGGACCAGCATGGCCAAAATGGTGAAACCTCTATTTAAAATACAAAAATTAGCCAGGTGTGGTGGCAGATGCCTGTAATCTCAGCAACTCAGGAGGCTGAGTCATGAGAATCGCTGGAACCCAGGAGGTGGAGGTTGCAGTGAGCCAAGACCACTCCACTGCACTGCAGCCTAGGGAAGGGAGGAGACTCGATCTCAAAAAAAAAAAAAAGAAACTCGAGTACTGACTATGACCAGTGTCCCCTACTCCACTACTCCAAGTAATGCAGCATGTTCATGAAACTCCCATTACATATGGAAGTCTCAGGATCGAGTGGATTACCAGCCACAGCCACAAAGCTAAGGGGCAGAGGGGAGTTAGTGGGGTGGTGGGAGGTGGGGAGAGGGAAAGAACTCTTGGAGATGAGACTCAAGTAAAATTCACAGGTTATCTCTCTAGTGGAATTAAGTATTGGTAGTGTCATGCTCAAGCCTATACTCAATAAAGTGGTTATATTTTGGTGATGTATTTGATGAGTGACTTTCAATCCTGTTTCTGTTAAGATTTTAAAACCTAGTAAGAAAGAAGAAACCTTGAGGCAGAGTAATTTCTAGAAATATGGGTAAACTCATGTTTCTATTCTTTTTATATTAGATACAACTCCAGCTCAGACAATAAAATCCCCTCTATGCATTTTGAATTACAATTTAAGATATGAGCCAAAAAAGTAAAAAGTAAAACAAAAATAACAACCTACCCACAACGGGTTCCATTTGTGACGTTCTGGTTGAGAGAGCTGTTAGTCCATACTATGGTGTTATTTACACATGCTTTTCCTGGAATCTGGAGTTCTTGTAACTCAGTATCGTAGTCAATAAAAACATCTGTCATTGTGCCAAAAATGAGTAGCGTGCCTGGCTGGGCTATTCCATGGAGAAATGCACATAAACTTCCCACAAACATCAGCCAAATGTCAGTTGATGAAGAAAACCGAAACTTGAAAAACAAAGGGTTCAGAGATCATCTATGGGTGAAAAGCAGGAGAGGTAGGAGGACTATTTAATTTAGTTACTAGATTATGATGAGTAGTACTCAATACCAAATTTCATGGGAATCATCTTAATTGAGCGGCAGAGTTCGTACTAATTATATTGAAATAAATGGCATGGTATCTAAAACATTAGACTCTTACATTGTTGCATCATGTTATTCCTTTCCTGGTCTCTGAATTCATTCCCTTTATTTCAGGAGCTGACTTTAGTTTTTAGCTACTCATCTACAACTTAAGGGGAAAATAATCACTGTCAGTGATGCCATTGTCAAGTAGATAAACTGTGTGGGGCATTCAGCAATTGTATAAATTGCTTTGTACAACTGATAGTGACAATAAAGAGTGCCAATTTGTGCCTAGAAATGCCTCCATTCTGAGAAAATATGGAGTTTATACTTACATTATAAAATGTCTACGGATTTGTCATGAGAATAAATATATATAATACGATTGTTGTGACGACTTTCTTTACAACTATAATAACCATGGGCTTAGTGATAATTTTCCAAGACGTTTTTCTCATCTATTGGACAGGATTCGTGTGTTTTATCAGCAACATATTTCAAATAATTATTCAACATGTTAACAAATAGGCAAAGCCTATGACTGAAAAAGCAATCATGGAAGTTAAAAACTTGCCAATATGACTAAAGATTTAACACTTCCTTCATGATCTAAATGACTTCTAGTTGCACACCCACTGCTGTAAATCAGCACAGTTTTATTACCAATTGAAAGAAACCAACTTGAATGCCATCACCTTTCTTCTCATCTTGTAACCTGAGGAGAAAAACATAGGGATTTAAAGACCATTCTTTCCTATACAATGGGAAATTCTCCCTAAGTGGTGATTTTATGAATTATTCTTTAGTAAGAAAGAAAATCCCCACTGATTGGAAAATTCTAGCCAAAACTGATATCTTAAAAACAGGCTTTATGCTTCTAGATTTACCTCTTCTAGAGATTTCAGTATAGCTCTCTCTCAGGTACTAGTGATTCATAGAGATGAATACCTGAGAGGTATGGAGAGAAAGTAAAAAGTCCTCTGTACTCCCAACTGTATCAACAAATAACTCTTCACCCTCAGTCATGATCCTCAATCTATTTGTGATTGTATTTCCTCATGGTAAGTTGAAGTGGTTGGATTAGCTAATCTTAAAGCTTCCTCATACTTAAGAATTAATGTAGTTGTACTACATTAAATAATGTTGATACGATGAAAAATTTAAGAACACTCCCACACTTCCCATAGAATCATATTTCCTTAATATTTCTCATTCATTTCATTTCCCATAAGGCCATGTGACCTGTCTTCGACCTCTTCAACTTCAGGGATCTTGACTTAACCTGAGTCACCCATTCCATGAATACACCCTGGACCTTGCCGTCACCAGGAACTACTGTCTAACATGTTTAACTCTTTGGCACTCTGTGGCTGCCCATGCATCTCATTTTCTCACTTCCTTCCTCCTTCCACACCTATTCATCAACCTCACTTGAGCCCTGCAGTCCTTTAAATCCTTCATTTCCTTCCATTGCTAAACCCTTTTAAGATTTTGCTTCCTTCCACATGCAGCCAAGATCCCTCTGCCAGGCATTTGGCATCATCCTTAATTATTTTCTCTACACCATCCTTGTAAACTTTATCCTGCATCCATCCAGCTGTTTGCCCTCTTCTCCTTAAGCCAGGCTGCTAGGCCTGCTGGATACAACCTCACAATCTTGTGAATGGATACCAACACAGACAGAGTCTAGCACTCAGCTGCCCTAAGCTTTCCTTCCGGCCCAGAAGAGAATCCCAAATCCTTTCTGAGACTCCCCACGACCTGGCCCTTGGATCTCTGACCTCACCTCCTCCAACTACATTCTAGTTCTCAACACTCCACTCGCCTGGCCTCTTGCTGACCTTTGTCCATGCCCAAACTGTTCCCACCTCTGAGTGTGGGCCCCTGCTAGTCCCTCTCCCTAGATGCTCTTTCTTCAGGTAACCATAGGGACAGCTCCCTCACCTCCACTAGACCTTTCTTCAAAAGTCACCTACTCAACAGTCTTCCCTGGCCAGTCTTTAAAATTTCAACCCCACCCCCACACACCATTTCATAGCTTCATTTCCATGTTTACTTTTTTTCTCAGAAAGTGATAATCACTAGCTACCACGCTATGCATTTGATTCATTTATAGTGTTTATTAATATCCCTCTCACTAAAATGTAAACTCCTCAAGAGCAGACTTTTTTTTTACTGTTTTGTTCTTTTTTGTGCCCTCAGCACCTACAACAGTGTCTGATACCAAACAGAGACTCAATATTTGCAAAAGGAATGATTTAATGCAGCGAATATGTGCTCTCCTGCTCAACGTGCAACACACACTTCATTCCTCTACAGACTGCTCCCACTCCTGTCAGCAGCTCTGGCAAACTTTTACTGTGATCTTCTCATTCCATGCTCACCTCCTCTGAAAAGAAAACCACTCATTCAACTTCCTGCTCATCCTTTAAGGATGAGCATTCTCCATTCATTTACATCCACACCCACTTTTTTCCCACCCAGTAAGAAACGTGTGGCTCTCAGAGGCCCAGGTTGACCTGACCATCCCAGCCCAAAGCTAATCTTACTATGCCTAATCCCTCCCTTTGCTGCGAATTACTTAAAATTTCTAAAATACCTTCAACCCTTCTCTTTCCATCACTCCACTTCAGGAACTTACCTGATGCCATCCTTCTATTTTCTAAATTAGACCTCATCTAATCCTGCCTTCATACCAAACTGTGATTAGCTGATATTTGTTCTATATGAGAATTCAAACTGTTTAGCTAAACAGAACTATATAATAATGACACTTTAGGTTTCTACTCTTTACCTGTGGCAAGAATTTGGGTTTTAGGGACCTCCCCAATGATCATGAAATTACACTTGTTGTCCAACTTTTCTTCTTCCTTCTTAGGTCAGGAGTTCTATGCCATTCCTGAATACACAGGGGAGATGTAAACCTAATCCAGAAGTGATATTCCAAAAGGTTTTAAAAATCAAATTATAGTAATGTTTTAAAGAGGAAAAGAATGGATTATATATATTATTTTATATGAAGTGCAATGCACATAAAAATATTCTCTGCTTTGTGCTTTTTATAGGAATATTATGGAGTTACTTTAGAAAAGATGCTGCATTGTTGAAATCAGTCACTCACCTTGATTTCTTATCATTATTATCTGTCAGAAAAAAATCAACGCAAAAAAAAGCAGTTAATAATGACAAAATGCAATACAGTCACTAACAAATTTGCTCTGGAAAAACATTTCTATAAATTACCTTTATTCATGGAATATTACAAAATGATTATTTGCCTTTTCTCTTTTCCTGCTCATGTTGTCTCTCTCTTTACACACACACACACACACACACACACACACACACACGAACACACTCATTTAGGGTTCAGGACTACTGCTACCTTTACTACATTTCTGGACTTTTCTTCAGGACATAAAATATTTGCATCATCTGAATATCAAATGGAGAGCAACATTTCTAAATTAGCTAAACAAGATCCGACTTTTTGAACTACAAAATAAAACTGATATTTATTTTTTGTTTGGTTCTTTAAAAGCATCAGAATTTATCTGTTTAAAATACAGACCACAAATTAACAATAAGATGTTAATTAACAAGGTGTCATTGACACTTCTACACCAGTAGAAGCCATGGGATTGAGACACATTGTTTTCCTTAGTGTAGGTCACAACAGATGCAGGGCAGGCCATGAAAGTAGGGGTTACAGCCAGGGGTATAAGGAAGCCACTGGGGAGCTTTGTCATCCAACACTATCATGCTTCTTTACTCTTATTAAATCAAATTAAATTAAAATGTCAGAGGGACCCTGGACTCTTTCTGCTGGCATTTTAATTTAATTTAATTAAGAGTAAAAGGCATGATCATGTTGACAGATGGCAATATTTTGGGCTTCAGAATCAAACACAACTGGATTGAAATTATGGTTTCATTAATTTTACTCATATGACCCTTCCCAAGTTTAAAAAAACATATCCAAGTCTCAGTTTTGCCATCTGTAAAATGCAAAATCATAGGGTTAGAAAACAATAGCTTAAAACAATCTGAGCCCAGGACATCCCAAGTGCTAGTGCTACAAGGCCCTTTCACGTGATCTTATTCTGTTCTGCAGAGTCTGGGCACAGCTCTTCTCAAGGAGGAGCGCTCACTAAATTGCGATCAATAATAACAGTGACAATACAGGAATCAGGTTAATCATAACAGCCACTGCTGGAACAACCCTACTCTACATATGAAAGGTGTTTGTGAGAGATGCTTTCATTCATCCACACTTGGTGTTTTCTTACCTAGTGCTTCCAGATATTACGTTACATGGATTCTAGGGAGAGCCACACAGTTGTGTATAAGAATCACACCCAGTGATAATTCTACCTACTGTTGCTGATTTTTTTCTGCTCCTCGAAACTTCGCTAGCGTGTCCCACTTTTGTTCTCACCTCTCCCTGTACCAGATGTTGTGAGAGAAAAAAGCCACTTACATGATTTGTCTGACTCAAAACCATAATTCTCCTCTCCAAATTTCTTTACACTTTGAAGAATTACTGACTCAGACATGGTAATAGCAATCTGCAGCCAACAACCCTATAAAATAAAATAAAATAATAATTGCAATTATTATCTCTTCTTCCTTCTTTAACCAAAGTAGCCAAATGAAAGAACAGTTCAAGAAATAATCTTTACTAATCAATTTCAGACAAAAGCAGGTTTTTAAATTGGTTGATAACTCCCTGAAAGAGCCTAATTATCAGGAAAGATAAACCACAGCCACAGATCAAGGTTTTCTCTAGTTGTTATATGGATGGTTGTTTCTTATAGCTAATTGTAGGAAAGAGAAAACAAAACCATTGATAAAAGTCTCCTCCAGTTGTTGGATGGATGGTTACTCTTTCTGGTTATCTGTGCTTTATTTACTTTTAATGAGAAAACATGAAAACCATGAGAAAGGCAAACCAACTGGTGATGTTCTTTAGTCAGTGTAGTTGATGAACGACACCCAAATATTTTGGGTAACCTTCAGTATTCCTTTGTAAATACAACCTCAAGATAAGCTGAGTCCAGCAGTATCAAGGGAACAGAAGGGGGACATTTTCTAAATAAAATGTAAATGTCGACAGAGTCATGGTTATTATAGACATTAGATTATATAGTCATAATCTAATGTCTATATCATGGAGTTCTCAGATTGTACCCTCTATAAACTGATTTATTCACAGGGGAAAAAATCAGTTTATAGAGGATACAGTCTGAGAATTCCAGGATATAGACATTAGATTCAGCATGGAGTTTATGCTTCACTAACTTCTCTGCTTCAAACATATAGCAATGATGGATAATATGTTTTAAAAAAGAGATACAGTCAGACTCAAATAAATAAAAATAAACATCTTCAGGAACCAGAAATGGCAGAGAAGCACCAAAGAATAAGCAGAGCATGGAAGCAGCTGGTATTTTCCTCTGTGTCTGAATGCAGATGGGTGTAAGGGCTTAGCTCCTGAGAGAACTATAAATGCCCCAAATCAAACAGGAAGTTAGAGAACACCTCTTTGCATGGAGCTAGAGAAGCTAATGTTGGCCTCTTGCACTGCTGAGAAGACCCTGAGGAAACTGCTGCCCACCACTGAAGCAGCTATTCCTTATAATGAAATGCATGCCCATGGAGGTTATAGGAGGAGACAGTGATATATATTATATACATATATACACATATAAAAGATATACAAATAAGAGACAGGAAGCTGGAGCTATGAAAAGCTTCTAACCTCACTTACTTGGAATTCCAGAAGCAGAGAGTAGAGAATGACAGAGGTGTAATAAGTAAAGAGATAATTGCTAAGAACTTTCTGGAAGCAATGACTTGATTCTTCAAATTAACAGTAGACTCCAAGATTGATTGGAATAAATAGTAGTCAAAACTTAGATACATTATATAGAAATACAGTTGTCTCTCAGTATATGCGGGAAATTGGTTCTAGCACTCCCACATATACCAAAATCCAGGTATACACAAGTCCCACAGTCAGCTTGTAGAACTCGTGCATAGGAAAAGTTGACTTTTCATATCCACCGATTTTATTCCAATCCTGAGACTACTATATTTTCCATCTGAGATTGGTTGAAAACAATCCCCATATAAGTGGACCTGCAAGTTCAAGCCTGTGTAGTGCAAGAATTAAACTATAGTAAAGCACCAAGAATAAACACAATCCATCCTAAAAACTGTGAAAGGGGGAAATGCATTATCCAAATATAAAGAAAAGACTGACAGAATTTTTCTCATCAGCAATAGAGAGTAGAAAATAGTGGAGTAATGACTTCAAAGTACTGAGAAAAAAGTAATCTTTAACCTAGAATTTTATACTGAGCCAAAAAGTCATTCAGCATATTTCTAGACATTCAAAGTCAAGAGGGTTGCCACTTACAGACCCATATGAAACAACTACTAGAGGATGTGCCTTAGCAAGAAGGAGTATCCAGAAGGGAGCCATGAAAGAGAAACAAGGGTGAGCACAATAGTTAACAAAATACGTCAGGATGGCCAATCAAATATTGATACCAAGTATAAATTTTTATTTCAAAAGAGCTTAATTAAGACTCGACATAATATGTAATCCCAGCCCTTTGAAGGCAGGTGATCACCTGAGGTCAGGAGTTCAAGACCAGCCTGACCAACATGGTGAAACCCCATCTCTGCTAAAAAAACAAAAATTAGCCAGGTGTGGTGGCACACACCTGTAATTCCAGCTACTGAGGAGGCTGAGGCAGGAGAATCACCTGAACTCAGGAAGCAGAGGTAGCAGTGAGCTGAGATTTCACAACTGCACTCCAGCCTGGGAGACAGTGAAATTCTGTCTCAAAAAACAAAAAACAACAAAAAAGAACTCTACACAATAATAGTGTAGATATGAGTATATCTTAAACACAAGATAAGGTGTTTGATATGCAGATAAGTATGTCAGGTTTATTCTCATGACAATCTATGGACATTGTTTTACAATTATAATTAAATACATATTTGATTAAACCAAATGAAATTGCTAATATTTAACCATTTCTTAATTACAAAGTTCAACTAATATCTGAACAAAGTTCAACCAATATCTGTAAATTTTAAGAAAAAGCAATGAAAAAGTATCAGTATAATCTATAGCTTCTAAACAAGCAAAGGATTAAAAACTGAGTATGTAGAAAACTTCATCAATCCAACAAAAGTTAAAAGTGAAAGAAGATGGTCTCAAAAGACCATGTATTGTATGATTTCATTTACATGAAATGTCCAAGACAGGCGACACTATAGAGACAGAAAAGAAATAAGTGGCTGTCTAAGGCTGGAGTAGGCGTGGGGATGGAAGGGGGATGAGAAGTGACTGGTAACAGACATAAGCTTTCTTCTGAGGATGAAAAAAATGTTCTAAAGTTAGATTATTGTGATGGTCACACAACTCTGTTAATAATGAAAATCATTGAATTGTATACTTTAAATAGGTGAACTCCATGATGTATAAATTATACCCTCAAAAGGCTGTTTGTTGTTGTTGTTGTTTTAAAAAGACAGGTCAGTTTATTGAATTTTTTTAAATCCAGATATATAATTTTTTTTTTAGACAGAGTCTCACTCTGTTGCCCAGGCTGGAGTACAATGGCTCGATCTCAGCTCACTGCAGCCTCCACCTCTGGGGTTCAAGCAATTTTCCTGCCTCGGCCTCCCAAGCAGCTGGGATTACAAGTGTGTGCCACCACACCTGGTTAATTTTTGTATTTTTAGTAGAGATAGGGTTTCACCATGTTGGCCAGGCTGGTCTCAAACTCCTGGCCTCAGGTGACCTGTCAACTTCAGCCTCCCAATGTGCTGGGATTACAGGTGTGAGACACCACACCACAACGGAGATATATACTTATTATAAAAGAAATTATATATAAAATCATAAAAAATGGTCAAAAATTAAAGGATAAAAAGGATATGTCATGCAATACTGATTTCTCAAAGCTATTATGTTAATGTCAGAAAAAATAGCATCCATGTTCAAAACAATAATGGATTTTTAAAGAAAACATAATAGTCAAAAGCACAATCCAGCTAGAAGACAAATCAATTATTGGATTGTATATACCCAGCAACTTAACACAACATAGCCTGCAACTGCAATAACACATCTTTATTAGAAACTGATAAACAGACAAAAAATTAGAAATTATAAAAGCTTTGAAAATCAAAAATAAGTAATTATATGTAATTTACTATGTAAAATTTATGTTTTTCTTAAAATTTTCAGACACTGGCTGAACTCTGTTCAGATATTAGTTGAACTTTCTAAGTAAAAAAAGATTAAATATTGGCAATTTCATTTGGTTTAATCAAATATATATTTAATTACAATTGTAACACAATGGCCATAGCTTTTAATTACAAATTTCATTACTATGGAACCTGCAACCAAGACATTTTTCAATTACATTTGGCATTTTATAAAACTTACCCATTAATAACCCATCAAAAATGTCTACAAATAAAAAACTATGTATTTCTCTATATTGCTATTATTCTAAAGAGTGTATATTCTGACAACAATGCAATTAAATAAAAGCTAAAAAGTTAAACACTAGTAAAACATACACATATATTCAGTAAAACTGTGTGTGTGCTACAAACTTTAAAATACATATGCAGATAATTATGGGATAATGATGAAATCACTACAGAAATAAAAAATATTTAAAACAGGGATAATAAATACATAAAATCATGTGGGCTATAGCTAAAAAGATACTTCAAGATTTATTTATAAACATAAATGCATTTTGTTCTTTCAGAGATTAATAAATGAATTATGTTCTTATCAAGAACCTATAAAAATGCAAGAATTATACAATAGGAAACAAAATAAAATGAAAAACTAGAAAGGATACATCAATTAAAAAGTTGTTTTTTAAAATAACTAAAAATATGCAAGTCAATAAGACTGCTGAATAAAAGATATATAAATCACAAATACGAATGGAAAATGGGGAAAGTTAAAATAAATAAAGTTTTAAATCATAAGCAAATACTGTAAGTAATTTAATGGTAGTAAATTTGAAAAACAGGGTAAGATTGATTTTCTAGAAAAATAAAAGTTATCAAAATTTATTCATACAGGAAAACTTAAAAAGTAATGTCTATTAAAACTATTGATTTCATCGTCACTGGTCATCAGAGAGATGCAAATCAAAACCACATTGAGATACCATCTCACGCCAGTTAGAATGGCGATCAACACAGATAGGCACATTAGAGGAAGTCTCCTGACCATTACTGGTCAGAACATATTTTTCTACCTTAGAACTCTAACACAGCATTCGGAAAGACCTCACTGCTGGGGAAGAGGGGATGGGGGAAGAGAGACCATCAGCTAGATGGTCACCTGAGAGAAACTAGGGTTTTGACTAATCTTGAAAATGGGGCTGAATGAGCAGTACCGCAAGGGTCCTGAAGCCATCAGAATTGGAGGAGATACAGGGCTCTACAAGCCATGCTAGGAAGAAGTCAAAGATCCTGAGAGCATAAAATGTCAGTGCCCACTCCCGGCCACCACACAAAGGCTGCTAGTGTGAACTGGTGGAGATGTCAGCCTGGAGCAACAGATGAGCAGGTTGACCTTTGCCAATGGCTGGGATCAATACCAGCAACTGGCTATGGGTATTGTAGAAGAATTGAAGTAAAAAAAAGGTCCGGGTTGAGAAGAAGTTGTCTCCTGAGCTGAATCCTTCTGGGCTGAAGGATACTGCTACCATCCTACTTTTGTAGATACAGTTTGACTGGAACACAGTCACACCCATTCTTTTTCTATTGTCTTTGGCTGCTTCTGTGCTACAATGACAGACTATATGGCCCTTTCTCTCTCCCACACCTAAAATATTCACTATCTAGCTCTTTACAGAAAATGCCAACCCCTGTACTGTGAGGTAAGTTCAGGGCAGCCTAAAGCCCAGGAAGAAATCTCCGAGAACCTGATTTACCTACTCTAAAAATTGTGGGGAGCACCAGCCCTCCAAGCAGCCCTATCCTCATGGAGCTTACAGTGTGGCAGGGAAGGCAGACAATATCTGGGAAATGAGATGTCAAGCAGGATGGCAGCGAGGAAAGGGGAAGTACAGAAATTTCCTGGGCCCTCGTGCAGAGGAGCTGCCTGGTCTAGAGAGCTGGAGATGGCTCTGGAGCAAGTGCTCTGTAGTATGAGACACTGAAGATGAGAGCAAGTTCACCATGGGAAGAGGAGAGGGAAAAGCAGTCCAGGCAGGGAAGGGCACATGTAAAGGCCCAGACCCAAGAGACAGCACAGCTGGGTCCATGGTCAAAGGAACCCAGTGAGTATGGGGGAGGCAGATGGGCAACGCAGGAGGACATAGCTGGTTGATCCTTCGGGGTCTCATGATCCTTACCACTGAAAACATGGGACCTATCCTAAGGGCCATTGAAAACCAACGAAGTCTTTTAGGCAAGGAAAGAATATGATCAAATTTGTACTTTAAAAACATTATCCTGATCAGGCTTGGGAGTTGGAGCTCTCATCCAGAGAGGTTAGGAAATCAGTTTGAGAAGGACCGAAATCCCATCAGACCAAGAGGCAGAGATGGCTCTGTCTGTGTTCTAGGATTCTGCATTTTCTCTGGAGAGATTTGTTCCACTTTCCATTTAATTTTTACCTAAATACTATTTTTGAAACATGTTGACCTTTGCTAGACTTAATTCAGTAAAAGAGGGTTTTTTTTTCCATATTCAGGCCAAGATGGTAAGAAGAATCTAAATGCCTTAAAAGCCGCTGAGGAGCTGGGGACAGTGAGGGGAACCAGGCCAGGCCCAGGAGTGGAGAGCACCTCCCCGCACCATGCCCCACAACTCACTGTGAATATTCTGGTCATGTGAGGGTCCCTCTGTGGCTTTTCTCTTGCAAAGTCTTGCCCTCTGTAAAGCCTTTTAAGACCCCAGCCCCACTTCACAGAGCTGCTGAGAGAGAACAGAAGTGCCCCTGCTCCTCTTCAATTTGGATGTCACTTTCTAAGCTACAGTTTTCATTTCATTTTTTCTTTTTAAAAAAGGCCCTTAAAACATCTTTTACTGCTGACATTTAGAAATGTAGGTAGGACACCTTTGTTATTATCAGCTCAGCAAATGATTTCTTTATCTAAAAGATCATTAGAGGAGAAAGAAACATTAATATATGCTAAGAAACAAGGAAAATAGAAAAGCATTATTTTTCAGATAAGCTCCTTGTAGGCTGATGGTGTGTGTCAGCACTGCAGGAGAGCCTGTCTGGGGATAGACTAAAAGGAGACCCTTCCAGCCCTGAGGGTTATGGCTGACAGAGAAGGGAAATGAATACACAGTGACCCCATTGGCCACATAAGCCCTTTCTTCAGAGTTACCACTGAGGTAGAGGACTAAAGAATTGCTTAGGAAGAAAACAGAATGTAACACCAAAGTTAACTGCCACAGCGATTTTCTGTCTTAAATGTAATTTCCCTTTGACCAAGCAAAACGTACCTCCAGTATTTGATTCTGCAATGAAACTTGGGCACTTCATGGCAATTGTAGCATCTTTTAAAACCACAAAATGGGTGTTTTTCTCCACTAAATAGCTTCTTACTGCATTTTTAGTAGTCATCCACTAAGATTTATCACCGTTATTCTTAGTATTAGGACATGAAAATTACTCAAGGGGCTTGGAATCTAGAGTGGGGAGGAGTGTAAACAGAAGCTCCTAGGCAGGGAAATGGAGGCTTCCACCAGAGACAATCACAATGTCACAGAGCACAGCAGGGGGAACTAAGGTGGGGGTGCGGTGAGCAGTGAGGGGATGTGGCTGCCCATAGAAAAGAACTTCTATTAAACAACAGCCTGTAAATAAGTTAGCACTTCAACTGTTTCATAAGAACCACCACTACATCCTAATAGTAAAAAGTTTTAGGTAGAACCACTATAATTTGTCTCTAACATGTGTAAAAAGCTATTCCCCCTCAAAATGTTGACAAATACTTTTATTCCCAGTCCCAAGTGTGAATAATATTTGATCTCTGTGCTCAAGGCATTGGCAATATATGATTCCCACTGGCCTGAGTAACCTAAAAACTGAAATTAGATCCTAGAAACCAATTTCTCCCCTCTAAACATGCATCCCCAGCTAATATTTTTTAGCATCTATATTTTTGAAAACTGGGAGAATGAAGAAATGAGTATGGTGTTAGAGAAAAGATAAAGTCAATGGAGTTCTGTGTTAAACCACCTTTCAAGGGTAAAATTTATGATTATTGAATCTGTGATTATCAGAGGAAACAGAATTATGCTTTCATAAAGCTAAGTTTAAATAGAAGCCCACTAGTGTTTTTACTTTGTGTAGATTATTCAATCTATTCAGCCATTTTTACCACACACACATGTATAATACATACACACACACACACACACACACACACATTCTCAAGAGATTGGTGCATAAACTAGCATTGCTATAAAAAAGACAGCAACCAAGAGTCATCTGTATTATGTACAACATTATGAAATCATTAATGTATCCTGCAAGTTTCTATCCAAGTATTGCAGCATTGTTTATCACAGGACAAGAGACCAGTCTTTAATAAATCGAAAACAGTACACCCCACAAAGTAAGAGTTAAAGGGAAGAGGGAATGGATTTGCAGAGACAAGTATAAATCACTTACCTGTGAACGTGAATTCACAGAAGCCTGAGGAAACAATGGACTCCACTGTGGAGAGTGAAAAGGTATCACGACCTTTTCCAACATCAGTTTTCATCATTCTAAAGCATTGAACAGAATTCAAGCTTTTTCGAGAACGTTATCTATTCACCTAAGGGTCAATGTCCCAAAGGCCAGCCTAAGCACAGTTCAGTGACATACGAGAAACATACTCAGAGCAATAACCCCAAACACAAAGTGTGCTTGGGAAACCCTCTGAGGGTGTCAACAGGCCTTGGAAACTGCTGATTCACCTTGGAAGGAGAGGCAAATTAAGCAGAGTGGGCCCAGAAAGAGCCCTGGGATTTGGGCTATCCCAACCCTTATTTTTCACAGGCCTGTAGTTGTGAAAAGTTACTTAAAACATAACAAGAAAAAAAAAATACCTTTAAACTTTCCCTCTCAATATAAAAGATTACTCTTGGAAAATCCCTGGTTGCAGGCTCCAGATGCTCCTGGCCCAGCCATAGAGTTTTGTGGAGAAAAAATGCCCTAAAAGAACATCTGAAACAGCCTTGCTCAAAAGTCTGAGTGCATAGACAACTCTTGCACCTTGGCATGGACAGTCACTAACCTCAGGCTTGGCGTACCAGGTGAAGCTCTGTATAAGAGGACATGAACGATTTTGTAAAGGTTCAAATTAACAGAATCTCAAGTCAAATAAGCATGTGGAGCTCCTCCAATATATTTGTGCTGCTTCTTCCTCTCCCTTATTCTTGTGAGTCTGCATTTTTCCTACAATGTTCTTATTATTTCTCCTCTGTGCCTGAGCTTGCTCTTCCCTAAGTGCACCTCACTCCAGCCTTCAGCAATGAATAATAATAGGCAACATTGGTCAAGACTTGGTTGGGTGCCTGCCCCACTTCAAAAATGTTATTTGTATTGCCTCATTTGGGTCTCTCAACAGCTCTAGGAGTTGGGTGCTAACATGTCATTTTCATTTTATAGTTGGGGAAACTGAGGCACAGAGAGGTTAAATAATACACCCAAGGGATGTCAACTAGTAGATGTGAAGCCACACACCTGTCTGTGCAAACCTTCTTCCACTCTGTGCTCTAAAATGCAACTGATGAATCAGTGCTTCTCTATTTGCAGAAAATAAATTGTAAAATAAAATTTTCTTGATTTTATGTTTCTCTGTTATACATTTTTCATTAAAATTCAGCACCCACTGTTTTTTCTCTATTGGAATTTATGAATAAGATGATTTATGACTTAGCCCGTAAACCCACATGGTTTATGACTTAGCCCATAAAACCCAAAATTATGACATATAATTTTATATGTTACTATGTTTATATGTTTAAATCTCAATATGTTAAGGTTAGCAAAGAAAAGCAAGATTTCTAGATGTTTCCTCTATCTAAACTGGATGGGTTGACTTCAGAGGTGACACAAATGTAGTAATGTTGGGTTTGGCACCAGTTAAGTCCCAGGAAAAATAATTTTGCTTCACACAAAACCAAAAAGGCAACGCAGCTATGGGGTTGTAGCTTGATTGGGAAAAGATTCACAATAGAATTTTGGGTGCTACCTTTGCTGTGCGGAAGTTATTAACAACAGTCAAAGGGTAAAAATGCCAACAAGAGAAAATTGTCAACTCAGGACCAGAGGTGATCTGCTCACAGGTCTGGAAGTCCTAAGATTTTCCTTTGGGTGGCATAAAGATCCAGGGGAAGATAAAAGCATAGAGTTTTAGAGCTAGAAACAACATTGTAGATACTGATATATCACCCAAAAATGTCATCTTATAGATGAGAAACGTGAAGACAGAGTGGCCATCTGTCCAGGGTCTTGGGGAGTTTATGATATCTTCCTCTACACCCTCACGCTGACCCCTAGACATACCTGGGCAGTGTGAGTACTGAGTTGATCGTACTTAATTCATTTCAGCAGTAGGTTTGTCTTCCTTATGGTTCACGGTCTGAAAACAGGTGGGGTTGTGGTCCCTACAGTCATCTAATTAAAATACCAGCTCTTTTTGAATGCTGGCTTAGGTGCCAACCACTGTTCTATGCTTTGGGATTCAGGAATGAGTAAGATAGACAAGAATCCCTTCCTCAGGAATCATATTCTGGGGGCTGGGTGAGGGGCAGTATGTAGAGGAGACAAGTAACACATACAATACATCAGACGATGTAAATGGTATGGAGAAAAGAATTGCAGGAAAGGGATATGATAGGGGCAGAGAGAGAGAGAGAGAGAGAGAGAGAGAGAGAGAGAGAGTGTGTGTGTGTGTGTGTGTGTGTGTGTGTTGTGTGGTGAAGCATGTTGCTTTTTTTTTTTTTGAGACAGAGTTTCGCTGTTGTTACCCAGGCTGGAGTGCAATGGCGTGATCTCGGCTCACTGCAACCTCCGCCTCCTGGGTTCAAGCAATTCTTCTGCCTCAGCCTCCCGAGTAGCTGGGACTACAGGCACGTGCCACCATGCCCCGCTAATTTTTGTATTTTTAGTAGAGACGGGGTTTCACCATGTTAACCAGGATGGTCTCGATCTCCTGACCTTGTGATCCACCTGCCTCAGCCTCCCAAAGTGCTGGGATCATAGGCATGAGCCACCGCGCCCGGCCAAGATGTTGCCATTTTTAATTGGGTATTGTGGAAGGGCTCACTGAAATAGTGACATATGAGGAATGACATGAGGGAGGTAAAGGAACAAGTATGTGGGTGTCTGGGAGAATCGCACAGGCAAGCCCTGGGCAGGAGCATGCCTGGTGTACATAGGAAGCTGAACCTGGAATGGAGTAGGTAAGACTGAGGTCAGTGGGGATTGTGTCAGAGTGGTGGGAATAGGGGAGTGTCATGAGCTTACAGGGCAGTGGTTCTGAAAGTGTAACTGCTGGCTCAGCAGCAACCTCCTCATTACCCAGGGGAAATGTATGTTCTTGGTCCTTACCTGAGATCTACTGAATCAGAAACCCTGGGAGTGGGGCCAATAAGCTGAAGCTTGAGAACCACTCCTGTAGAGCCTTAGAGGTGGACCAATTTGGAACCTGTTTCAAAATCACAGCAAAAACGGCTCAGAGAAAGCTCTAAATCACAATGGTAGAATTCAGCCAATAGTTTTATATATATTGGGAATTGTTCTAGGCACTATCAAAGAGATAAAAATAAGTCATCATTACTTTACTCCTTGAATCATTCAAAAACTAGTAACTCAGTAGCTTCTTTTTATAAGGCACTATGTCAAATGTTACACTGGCTACCAGGTTGTACACATTACAGTTAGTGTCCTTGAGAAAGTTTAAACCTTAAAAGGATACCAAAGCTTAGCATATAAAGCAAGTAAGAATAAAAAAGAAAAATAGCAAATGTGATAACATTTGATGCAGACCTTAAGTCTTTAAAAAGTAACCCATCAGTATGGATTCTCAAAGAAGGAAGGACTTGAGTTATATCTCAAAGTATGAGAAGGACCAAGTCATAATATAGCATGATTGCACACAGGCAACATTGAAAGGACCAAGATGGCTACTGTGAGAAGAGGAAAAGAGTGGCTTGTAAATTTGCTCAAGTAGGTGAAGAAAGCAAAGAAGGGCTTTCAGTTCCAGTAGAATGAGTTGCATGCAGTCTAAGATAAGAACTTCTGTTCACGGCCAGCCAGGGCCAATGTTCACAAAGCAGAGCACAAAAGGGATGGGCTAGGCAGGAAGTCATGCACATACACACCAATCACAGAAGCTGTTGATTGGTTATTACCACCCTGAAAATCAATATAAATTGTATAAAGCCAGCATGAGTCAGTTAACACAATATAATTGCCCATGTTTGTGTGTGTGTGTGGAGGGGGGACACTAGCAGAGAGAAAAATATCTAAATTAGAGCTTTCTTAGGTAGTTTATGTGTTTTTAAAGCAAGCTGTGTGGAAGGACACAATTTCTTTAGTTTAGTTCACTGCAGAGAGACATAGTTTAGTTCAGTTGACTGCAGAATGGTATACTGAAAAAAGCACAGGCTTATGAAGTCACAAAGAACTGGCTTTATATCCTGGTTTTGCCACCTACTTGTTGGGTGATTTAGTTAACATAGTGATACTTGCTAATTATTTCTCCCTCATGTGAAGTCCAATAGGCCTTGAATAAGGGGAAATTGGTATTGGGTAAAGGTGCTCTGCTCCATGCAGTCATTCAGGGACCCAGGCTGACAGAAACTCTGCCATCCTCAACATGTGGCTTTTAAGGTCTCCTTGAGATTGACATCTACCCATCACGCAGGGAAGAGAAAATATAAAGCATTTCTTTGTCCAAAATATAATTTTTTTATTATTATACTTTAAGTTCTGGCATACATGTGCAGAATGTGCAGGTTTGCTACATAGGCATACACATGCCATGGTGGTTTGCTGCATTATCAACCTGTAATCTACATTAGGTATTTCTCCTAATGCTATCCTTCCCCTTGCCCCTCGACCCCCAACAGGCCCCAGTGTGTGATTTTCCCCTCCCTGTGTCCATGTGATCTCATTGTTCAACCCCCACTTAAGAGTGAGAACATGCAGTGTTTGATTTTCTGTTCCTGTGTTTGCTGAGAATGATGGTTTCCAGCTTCATCTGTGTCCCTGCAAAGGACATGAACTCATCCTTTTTTATGGCTGCATAGTATTCCATGGTGTATATGTGCCATATTTTCTTTATTCTTTATCCAGTCTAACATTTATGGGCATTGGGTTGGTTCCATGTCTTTGCTATTATGAACAGTGCCAGAATAAACATATGTGTGCATGTGTCTTTATGGTAGAATGATTTACAATCCCTTTGGTATATACCCAGTAATGGGATTGCTAGGTCAAATGGTATTTCCGGTTCTAGATCTTTGAGGAATTGCCACACTGTCTTCCACAATGGTTGAACTAATTTACACTAAATATGGAACATTTTTGCACAGACAATTTCTATGGGTCAACCTTGGAAATGGCATCCGTTACTTCTACTCAGATTCCATTGGTTATGACTGTGCCACATAGCCACACCTAACTGTAAGAGAGACAGAAGATAAAGTTAGACTGTATGTTTGGGAGGTTTAGCTAAAAGTTAACGAATCTTAAGAGATGGTCTTTGAAATCACAAAGGTTTGTGATCACCAACTAGCTATCTAACTTTGGGCAAGTTATTTAATCTCCATTTGCCTCAGTTTCTCCATCTATAAAATGGAAGTGAAAATACCACCTGCATAGGGTAATGAGGCATGCCTGAACTTTCTCTGTGCCATAGATTCTGAGCAAGTATGCTGCTGTGGGAAAGTGTTTTGGAAGTAGAGGCATTGCACGTTCTCCAGCACGAGTGCCACCGACTGGTTGATCTGACTCCCAGGGATTATGTTGTAAGATTAGAACATTTTAGTTTTGTCTGAGATTTCAGTCTATCTGGATGGCATGTGGATGTACATACCAGACCTAACATCTCCTGAGCCACTGATTAGGCCCTTCTTAATCATATCTCACAGTCATGAGCCTGGCTGGATCTGCCCTGAAAACATAAATACATTTAAGTCTTGTAAAATAAAATTTCTCAATCTCATTCTTTATGGTCAAGGAGCCCCCGTGATGCCAGATAAGGCATTAATAGCACTGAAGTAGAAGACCATTCCAATAAGTCAATGATATCCAAACATATATATATATATAGTCCATGGTTGTGCAGAGATAATTCTATATTAGTGTAGTGGAATAACACTGTGAACCAATAACCCATGGATTTTTCCTCTTCCACTTTCTTCTATCCTGGGGCTCCTCTCCCAAGTAGGCATTTAGTTGAATTGTGTATATTTTTTATCTACCAAAATTAGTATATTCCTAATTTTCTCAGGTAGGGATACAAAAAAGACTGGAAGAAGTATATAAAAATATAAAGGTGATTATCTGTAACTTACACAAATGTGAACAAGGGTGATTTTCATTTTCTTCCTCATGCTTCTCCACATCTTCTAAATTTCTGCATAAAATAAGGGTAAACTATTTTTTGAAACATATGAGTTATTAAATAAAAATGATGAGTATGACAAAGAAAATAACACTAAGATTACATAATAACATTTTACTAATAATGATTTTTAAAACTACATGGAGAGAGAGTCTAGAAATGTGGGTGTTTTTCAAATATTAGCTGTAGTTCAGTCACTGGGTATTTTCTTGGAAACTCTGACTTCTGCAAAAGGGATGGGGCCCTCATCTGGACATCACAAGCAAAGTTTCTGCAGATTCAAAGCCCATTAAGAACTTGGTTTATCATAACACAGACCAGCCCATGTGGTGGTACCTGAAGCACCTGCTCAATGGTGTGCCCTGAATGTCCTGAACCTGGAGGTAGATCCACCCTATGCCAGCCCTCTGCTTCATCTGGCTCTCTCAAAACCTGGCTCTCATCTGAACAATCTTGGCTCAGTGCCTAGGTTCAACCCATCCCAGACCTCTGCTCATCTGGCTTTCCCAAAAGCCGGCTCTCACTGATCCCCTTCGGCTCAGTGCCCAGTCTGTTCCACCTCCACATCACGTCTGGGTGGGGCTCCCGGAATTCCTTCAGGCCTTACTTGTGGGCCATTTAGAGTAAAATACTGGGCCAACACTTCATTATGGTCTTCACACCATGTTTCCTTTAAGATGATCTCAAGGACAAAAATTAGAAAGAGTGAGTTGAGTAACTCCAATGTATTATTAGATGTTTTATGCTCCCTCTGTAGAATTAATAGTGCCAAAGAAGACTAATTGCAATCCTAGCAAGTTGTCATTTACAATGATCTAAATGAAATACATTGATCTCCACAGCACTCCGTACTTGGTTAGAATTTCTATTTTTGTTTCTCCCTCTAATGAGGAAAACTGGCACAAAAATATAAATTTCATTCATGAGCAAATCGTTTCTCATGTTTGTGAATGTGGTAGTTCTCATCTTTCCCTGAAGGCTCATTATTGTGCATAAAGTTATAAAAATTATAAGGGTATATTGTAATTGCAGAATGAAAATAAATGGGTGAAATAAATAAAGAAGAGGAATCAGAGAATTCTGCTACAGAACACAAGTCAATTATAAGTAATTCTGCCTGCAATGTTTTATACTCATTTGCACTACAGAATTTATCACTGGCGAGAGGCAAGTCTGCCTGCCTATGGGTATGGGGAGATTTGGTTTTCATGTCTTGGCTTTATCCAGGACACCTCCCTTCTGAAAATCATGTCTCAGTCTTGGAAACTATTCCTTTGTCAAGATGGAAGAGGAGGTAGTAAGAAGTGGTGCTTGTTAATAGTCAAGCATAGGTCACAGTGATCTATGCCAAGTGATTATAAATAAGCTGTGGGTGGTTCCTCTTACTCCCTAGCTGAAAGCAAGGCAATTCATACTCAATGCAACATACTTAGGTAATAAGAAACTAGGCTTACCAAATTAGTCAACACATCATTGGACAGCAATCTAGTAGCCTTGTGAAATCAAGACTCAATTCTCTATATGAAGTTTTCAATAAATATTGTTAAACTAATATTTTTAGTTTTGAAGGAAAAAGGAAGGCAGACATATTTTTATTGTTTGGTTTTGCGTTTGAGACAGAGTCTTGCTGTATCGTCCAGGCTGGAGTACAGTGGTGTGATCTTGGCTCAATGCAACCTTTGCCTCCCAGGTTCAAATGATTCTCCTGCCTCAGCCTCTCAAGTGGCTGGGACTACAAGCATCTGCCACCATGCCTGGCTAATTTCTTTGTATTTTTAGTAGAGACGGGATTTTACTATGTTGGCCAGGCTGGTCTTGAACTCCTGACCTCATCATCCACCCGCCTCAGTCTCCCAAAGTACTGGGCTTACAGGCATGAGCCATAGAGCCTGGCCTATATTATTTTTATTGTTATGTTTCATATGCCTGTTCAGAACTTCCCAGTTCCACCCTTACCAACTGTGGGTGACTCCTTATGACTCCAGTAACCCGAGGTTGTGAAATGCTGCTCTGAAGCCATGTGCCATCTAGACCTGGGTCACTAATTCATTGCTTCTCACTGATACTTGTCTAGGCACACATCTGGGGTTACTATTTTAAAAAGCAATGAGTAAGAGCAGTTAACTACAGGGACCCTGAGCTTGGGCACCAAACCTCAAACTGAGGTAGGACAAAAATGAAGGACTTGCATCCAAGTCCAACCTGCATCTAACTCTGTTGGAAAGGTTAAGGGGGCTGCCATAACGTTAGGGACCCTCTCCCAATTCAGCCCAGGGGTTTCAGCAGACCCTGTGTCAGAGTCCACGCTTATCTCTCCCAGCATGCAGCCAGGCATCCTTACCTTTAGACCACAGCCCACTCTACAGTAGTTAATTTGCCACATCCGTCCAGGACCCTTTATTGGGTATGGAAGGGTGGTTGCCTGCATTCTCAAATTTCAGCACCTCGCATGTTACTTAGGAACATGTGCTAATGGCAGTCACTAGTTTTATTTTCTTCCTGAGTGTTGTATACACCTTTATTTTTAGTATACCTCATAGTAGCATGTGTGGGGATACAGGTATAGACATAGATAGATTTCCCAAGAAGAAGCAAAACTCACAGTGTATCATATTCTAAGTTCTAGTAGTTCTCTGCAAGTCAGAGCTCAAGGAATTTTATCTTTCTCCTTTTTTGCCACCAGTGCTTACCACATGGTGCCAACCAATGATAAATTCCATAACAGTAACCTCAATGTAACAATTTATGTTTGCCAGGCTCTAGGCTAGTGCTTTATACACAGTAACTTATTTATTCTCTTAAAGATAATAATTCATCTCTCCTGTTAGTGAGAAAACTGAGATTCAGAGGTTAGATAATTTATTTGTGCAAAGATCCACATGATAAGTAGGATTTAAGCCCAAGTCTACAGGGCTCCAGGCATATACCCCTCCACAAAGCGATGTTGCTCCTTAAAGACCTTTGCCAGTTGCCTTACTCTATCTTGTCTTGCAGTCACTATTTGATGTTAGCAGTTTCTTCCTTACAAACAAAATCCTAAGTTTGGATAGGTTTAGGGCAGACACACATTCAGGGAAGATGGGCTGCAGGCCTAGCCCCAGCTCCAAAGTCTAAGTCAGTCATGGTCCTTCCATTTCCCTATTCCTTTGGCTAGAATGGAGTTAGACATGTGAGCCAGTTCTGTTCAGTGAAATCTAAGAAGAAAATCTGCTGAGGTCCTTCTGGGATTTTTTTCTCTGACAAAAAGATCGAGTTTTAACCAAAGAGTTATTTTGCCCTTATATATTTTTTCTGTTTTCAACACTCATATGTGAGAATGTGATATCAAGAGATGCAGCAGCCATTTGGTGACCATGAGGTGGCATAGCAAATAATGAAGAGCCACATTCTGAGAATGGCAGGATGGAGAGAGAGAAAGAACCTGGGCCTGGGTGGTATGACTGAACCACTGAACAAACCCTCTGACCAAAGACCTCCAGGTTTTATGTAATGCAAAGTAATTAAGTCATCATTACTGAGATGGTCTTTTATATGCCGATTTATATCTCTTACATTTCTAGATAGCATAAGAAATTAAATTGCATAGTTACTTTGCAAGGAGGTATAGGCAAACACACATATGCATACAATTTCACATATTCTGAAGATTTTATTATAGGGAATTGAGAAAGTGACATAAGAAAGAAAAAAAAGGAAGTCCAGCTAAGAAAACTGAGAAAAGGAAAGAACAGTACAACTAAGTGACTCTTCAATGACTCATCTCAAATCTTCATTCCGATGACTTCTCAAGGCTTCTCTAAGTGATCCCCCACCCCAGTGATTATCAACTTCCCTCTCCTCCCTCACCCAGATTTATTATGTGTCACTGCCAATTCAAATTCGTGGCTAAAGCACTAATCTTCTTTCTCCACATCTCTACTTCCTGGAACCCTTTTTTATTATCAGTCTTAAACCTATGCCCCATTCAGCCAGCCATTGGGGTAATGAACTTTCCATCCTAAAACCACAGTCAAATTTGCCTGTCACCTCACTGAGAAGGCTCTAGTGCTCTGGCAAACACAGCTGTGAGTTTTCTGAAACCTGCCTTTTTTTTAAAATTTCAGGTTCAGGAGTACATGTTCAGGCTTATTATACAGGTAAACTCATGTCACAGGGGTTTGATGTACACATTATTTCATGACCCAGGTACTAAGTCTAGTAACTCAATAGTTAATTTTTCTGCTCCTCTCCCTCCTCCCATCCTTCACCCTCCAATAGGCCCCAGTGTTTGTTGTTCCCCTCTTTATATCCATGAGTTCTCATAATTTAGCTCACACTTATTGGAAACCTCCTTTGGCCACATTTTGACACTATGTCAGGATAGGTTGGATCCTCCAACCCCTGCCGGGATCACTCTAGTTACCTAGAGCCTGGAGAAGATAATCAATAGTGCCCAAATGGTAGCTTTAAATAGCTTATAGCTTAAAAAGCTATGCTGGGCTGGGCACGGTGGCTCAAGCCTGTAATCCCAGCACTTTGGGAGGCCGAGGCGGGTGGATCACGAGGTCAAGAGATTGAGACCATCCTGGTCAACATGGTGAAACCCCGTCTCTACTAAAAATACAAAAAATTAGCTGGGCATGGTGGCGCGTGCCTGTAATCCCAGCTACTCAGGAGGCTGAGGCAGGAGAATTGCCTGAACCCAGGAGGCGGAGGTTGTGGTGAGCCGAGATCGTGCCATTGCACTCCAGCCTAGGTAACAAGTGAAACTCTGTCTCAAAAAAAAAAAAAAAAAAGCTATGCTGAATGTTTTGGAGGCCGCTGAGGTGTGGACATGGTTTTATACCAGTGAGATCACAGGTGAGCAAGCTGTTATTGGCTATAATGTTTGAAAATCAGCCTTTAACATCTGATTATATTTGGTTTCTTATTTGAGTGTTCTTGGACCATGTGTGATTATACTGCTATCTGAATAAAATAAGATAATGTATAAATTTTCTATACTTTCTTCATGCATAAAATCCCATTAGCAT